AATTCAACAATACAATCATCAAGGATGAATCTCTCTCACTCACTCACTCAACAACAAAAACAACCTATGCGAACTAAGTGAAACATTTCGCAACAAGCTCTACATCAAGCAGTTCAAAAACAGTATGGAATGGTTAGGCATATCATTTACATAGATGAATGTGATGAAATGACAAAATAATTCTGCTACACCAGGAACACTATCAAAGTATTAAATAAGTGGGACATATACTACTCAAAAGAAGTTAAAGAACACCCTATCTTTTCATATGACTAATATGTCATGGCTGGTGGGTATTGCAACACAGCCTTCCAAATGTAGGTATTCTTTAACTTGATATGATTAGTATATTGAGTTGGGAGCCTTTCACAGTAAAACATAATTCTTCGGAAATACTTGACCCACATGCACAAAATGATCTTTATGCAACAATGGTCACTACACCCATAGTTTTCTGTAGTCATAGCACCAAGATCGTATTGTGCAAGGGACTTATTTAACAATTATACCTGTGATGATAGTCACAGTTAAATCTATTACTTATTATGCTTACAAATATCTTCTTAAACACATCAAGTATTCTAGTGATGTGCATGCACCTATTAATATTGTAAATGAGAAGGGGTGGAGGGGGTAGGGTGGGGCGGGGTGGGAAGTTATAGTAATCATGATCATAAACTTTGAAATCGAACCCAGGTCTTCGGCGTGACGAGCGAACGCTTTAACCACTAGGCTAGCCGAGTAGTGTTTGACATACAAGTTAATGTCAGGAGAAAGTTGTCTAGTTATTAGCTATGGTCGCATTACTACAGCTTGAAAGTTTGACAGTTGACAAAATGGGACAATTCTCCCAACCTCACACGCAAGATGTGTATGCAGTCACCCACACATGCACACACATACGAATGCATACTTTATACTGGCGTGAAATAAGACACACTCATGACTTGCATGACTTTTCAAAATGGAAACATCTTGTATCAAGTTCCTTTGGTACCATGAAGTCAAAATAATCGGCCTCACGTAACAGAGTTATTTTTTTTCATTTTAATACCCAACTGAAAATTGTGATTTTCAAGGACCTGAAAAGAGGGAACATATTTCATGTCAACAACAAAACTCAATTTGTCATCTTTTGTCAAAACTTCAAACACAACTCAACCAAAACTCCAATACATTTTAACAGCATGATTCTTCAAATCATAAAGACAAAATAACAGTAAATTGTCAAGCCAAAACACAGTTTCATCGTCAAAATACAAAGATGAAACCTATGCATACGTACATACATACTACTCAAATTAATATATCTGAATGACTGGAACTTATGAATCAAAATATCAAATGTCAAGAACAAAAAAAGCTTTCATAGAGTTTTACAAAGCGCAATGACTTCTATTGTCATTGACAGTGGTTTTAGTGGCATATTCAACATTACTTCATTTTTATTAAAGTGGCCTACAATTTCTCCTTTTACAGGTAGCTGAAGGTGAACAAATATAACATGACCGTATTCAACGTCTCCAAAAATAGTATATTCACAATACATTTTTTGATATTTTGTAGATTTGTCATTTTTGAAAAAATACCTCCCCCCCTCAAGCATTTTCGGTATTAACCATAGGTTCATATTAAACAGCAGCACTGGATCATCATGATAGCCAGTTGTCAAGAGAGTATTATCAACATACAAGATTTGTTAAGCAGCTGTCAGTAATATTCCAGTAATGTCACAGCTTAAAATATGCCTGGTAAGAGCAGTATTGAAATACTGGTGACATTGTGGGTTATGAAATTGATACCGGTATTTGATCATAACCAGTTGTCAAGAAAGTATTATCAGCATACAAGAATGGTTTTACACTCCAGTCAGCAATAATCCAGCTATTCCACAGCTTAACACACAGGAGCAGTATTTAAATACTGGCGATTCAATAGGATACAAAATTGATACTTCATCATGATAACCAGTTGTCGGGAAAGTATTATTAACATGCAAACACAGTATCATGAAACAAGTTAAAAATGTATATGCTTGGGTGTTATGCAACTGATAGTGGATCATTGTAACTAGTTGTCAAGAAAGTATATTTGAATACAAGACCAGTATTGAGATGTAAACCATATTCTAGGGTGTTATGAAACTTACACTGCTTCATGGTAATCAGTTGTCAAGAAAGTATAATAAAATACAAGCATTGTACAGGAGTGAAATACTATTGGTACTCTAGGGCATTAAGAAATTTATACTGCATCATATCATGTGTACAGTGTTATAAATGACACCCTAAGGGTTGATGTTACAGGGACATGAACTTTTACATTGATACAGCTATCAAAACAATACATTGAGCACTGTTGTCCAAGAACAGTATTCTGAAACAAATAATGCCTCAAACATAAATCTCATAAAAATCCAATCTTTTACTTCGCTAAAATACCTCTCTGCAAGCTGACCTGACTACACTTCTGCAAGTGGTCATGTCACGTATACACTGAGTGTCCACTGACCACCTGGTCAAAGCGTGGGTGCTTGAGCCAATCAGATGCCAGATTTCCCATACAATTTGGCTTCAATTCTTCAGCACCTTGATTTGGAAAATTAGATCTTATATTCTCACCTCCAAAAGAAACACAAACTATAGAAACATATGGGGAAGTTTGTAAGTTAAGAAGAGATGTTTCCAATGTGTACTAATTACTGACAAAATTAACAATCAGTCAAGTGTTACCATAGAGTGTCCTTATTCATACAACATGCTGCACTGGAGTTCCCAATTTTACACGCTAATCCTGCACGAGACAAATCATACATCTTGAGTCATGAATCTGTGACGTCACATGAGCTGTGTTCATGTTCCTTTGTGCATTGAATGAGTGAGTGAGTTGGGTTTAACGCCGCTTTAAACAGTATTTCAGTTATATTGCGGCGTGTCAGCTTAATGTTGGAGGAAAGCATGAAGTGATGCAGGTTTCAGAGGTATGGTGCTGACAAACCTAGAAACATAATCGAGGCGAACCAGGATTTGAAACTAATGATCATAGGTTTCTGGCATGCCCAAGGGACACAACACTGCAAGCAATTCATGGCGCCTTAGATGACTGAGCCTGCATCGAACCATTCTAATATCTCTTGAAAATTAGTAATTCTTCATATATAAACCAACATGTATGTATTCATGTTTGTTTTGGTAGTGAGAATATATGAATTACTTACAATAAGAACTGGTCGCTTTCTGTTCATTTACGAGATACACAAATTAGAATGCTGATCTAATCCTTTGCTCATTCATACTGAGGATTTTGACGCCTCAAGGCTGATTGGAAAGTTGACCTGATTGGAAAGATGTGCTCAAATCTTCATGCTGAGAGGTATCATATATACCCTCTGCATCACTTAAATAGATTCCAAGGATTTCCAAGAAGTAAGTCCCAAAGATGGAAAACTGCAGTTCACATGCACTAAACTTATGTAATTTAAGGGGGTGCAAATAAGTTCAAAGTTGTAATAGCTAATATGATGAAACACAAAAAAGGTAAGTGAATATATAAATATATACACACACATACATAAACTTGATTATCTAGGCAATCAAGCGATTCCAACCTAAAATCACAGAATAGAATACATGATATAGAATATCTATGACAAAGGCTGTTTCCCTCACAGCATCACTGCCGTTTTTGTGTCCTCATTGAAATACAAGTCTTCCAGACTTCAAAAAGAATCACACATGAAATATTGCAATAATCTTAGAAACTGAGACATTCTTATCAAAAGTAAATAGAGCCTTCTTCATATACACAGATATGAAAGAACAAAATAAACTCAACTCAGGAATTCAAAATAGAAACCAAACATGTCCTAAATAGTAACTGACATCAGCAAACATACTAAACACAAAACAACCGTTGCAATAAACAAATGACAAACAATTCAAAATGATATGAATATCATCCCAAAATATGACATGCAGATGCATATTTACATGCTGTGAATGACATACAGAAACATAAAGCTATCATAACTGATTAGACGATAAAGGTAACCAATTACGAACAACCAAAAAGGAATCTGTACAAAGCATCTGCAATAGGGACACACCCATTGCAGTAAAAGAGGGAGTTAAGGTCGTATCACTGCTCCATATCACGGCGTCAGCTTCATGTGGGAGGAAAGCCTGTGATGCAGGTCTTAAGACATTTATCACTTAGGCGGATTCCACGAGTATGGATATGGTGCTGACCAAACAAGGATCTAAATCTGGGATATCTTGAAGTTAAGTCTAATATCAGCAGATCCTGGCGCTGCTAACTGTGCAATTGGACATCACACCTAAGACCACTAGGCATCCCTGCCCTCACTACAATGATAATGCCACACATTTATTATTTTTCATTTCACAGGCCTGCTGCCCCTATTGAAAAGCAGCTGGAAAAGAAATAAATTAAACATAAAAATATTTATTTTTATTATGTCTCCCGATAGTAATATAGACCCTCTTATAAAATATAAAATTTTATATATAAACCCCATGTCTACATCACTGTCAGTGATTCAAGAAGCCAGCTGCAGTTTTAACTCCAGAATGACTTTCACATAAATAAAAAAATGACTGACATCGCCATTCATAATTTTTAATTTTTTTTTTGACTGACCTTGTGTGGTAAAGCTTGAAATAAACCCGTGAAACATAAAATAAAAATGTGTGGCCTAAGAAAATAACATTCCTCGCCTTGCTCCAATAAACCCCCCTGACCAACTTCTTGACCAATAAGTAAGTCATCTGTATGAACTCCCCCGAACAAGACCGAACATTTACAGGACAATCCATATTTTCTGATATTACAGATTACTGAGAAAACGGCAGTGAGTGAGTGAGTTGGGTTTTGCGCTGCTTTTAACAGTATTGCAGTTATATCATGGCGAGTCAGCTTAATGTGGGAGGAAAGCCCGAAGTGATGCAGGTCTCAGACGTTTACCACTTCAGTGAAACCCACGAGCACGGGTATGGTGCTAACAAAACTAGAAACATAATCGGGGCGAACCGAGATTCGAACCCATAATCACAGGTTTCTGGCATGCCCAAGGGACGCCTTAGACAACTGGGCCACCTGTGCCCCCAAAACAGCAGTGAAGAAGAGGAAAATATTTTCCTTGTTACTATAATATTTTTGTGTCAACATTTGAACTAAGTTTGTTCACTATTGCTCAATCTCTGTGAAGAAATTTAACTTTGGCAGATTTAAAAAGGACCTTTCTTGTTGACTTTCTAAGCACCCATATTGCTTAGTTACAATAGGTGTTTTGTTTAAATGAGGTTTACTGTAAATTGATTGGATCTCAAGCCTTGCATAATTGAAACATGTCAGCCCATGTTTGAGTCTGCTCGCCTGAATATGGCTCTAAGCATCGTGTTCAGTAGAACTGAGTGTTATTGTACTATTATTACAAGAGCTGACTAGACAGAAATTTACCAACTCGTACTTCATACTAGTGGCCTCGTGAATACTGAATGCTTACAAAAGAGAAGCTGATTTACATTTGCAGGTACACATACGTATTCACCATGCACGACTACATGGGAGAATGAAGGAACAACATGGCAGTCACTTATAAACAGGACAAATCAGCAGTGAAGTACCCACATCTACATTTCATCCTCAGAAACTGAACCAGGCTCATTCTCAGACACTGAACCAGGCTCATCCTCAGACACTGAACCAGGCTCATTCTCAGACACTGAACCAGGCTCATCCTGAAACACTGAACCAGGCTCATTCTCATAATTCTTTGTTTGTTGTTTAATGCTGCACTCAGTTATATTATAGCTACATGACGTCAGTCTGTAAATAATCGAGTCTGGACTAGACAATCCAGTGATTGACATCACGAGCATCAATCTCAACAATTGGGATATGATGACACGCATCAACCAAATCAGCAAGCCTGACCACCCGATCTTGTTTGTCTCCTAATTCTACAAAATCCTTTTGGATTGCAAGGCTTCAGGGTTATTGATCCTCATTTCTGAGAAAAATAATTCCCTGTCCTTTCAGTTCTGATACCTGGCCAATCTCTCGCACTGTCACTAGACTCATATGTACTCAGGGTTTTCTGTGACGCACAAATGTTGAGATTGGACGCAGAAAAAGAATATATAATGATATCCATTATACCACGCATAAAGAGCAGTTATGGGTGTCTGACATGTCATCCATCAGATGTGTCTAACGTCCACTTCATCATTGGTTCATTCCAGGCTCTATTTAAAGTAATTATCAAATATGTACAGTACACTACAGCATTTCAATACATGTTTACAGGACCCTCATATTACCAGCTAGGACCATTAAAATAAATTATTGGGGGTCCCCTGGACCCCTACTTTTGTGAGTCAAGGTAAAACCCGGGTACTCACATATCAGTCGAGTGAGTGAGTGAGTGAGAGAGCAAGTCATGTTTTACACCAGTATTAGCAATATTCCAACAATATCAAGGAGCTTGACACCAGAATGGGCTGCACCCATTGTCCACATGCACTCACGTCCTTATATTTCTGAGTGAGTGAGTGAGTGTGTGAGTATGGTTTTACGCCGCTTTTAGCAATATTCCAGCAATATCACGGCGGGGGACACCAGAAATGGGCTTCAATCATTGTTCCCATGTCGGGAATCGAACCTGGGTCTTCGGCGTGACGAGCAAAACGCTTTAACCACAAGGCTACCCGACTGCCCCCTTATATTTCTGATACTTGGCCAATCATTTTCTCCGTCACCCAACAATTTGAGTGAGTGAGTGAGTTGTGTTTTATGCCGATTTTCGCAATATTCCAGAAATATCAAGACATAAGAAATTGGCTTCTCACATAAATTAAATAATTTAACCAACAATAACATCAGATTTGACCAGACTCACAAGTTAAAAGTGGCAGAAACTAAATAAATAAATTCTTGGTATGTACTGATACTGATAAACATATACGTATAATTATTTTCAATTTTACTTCTGTCCTGTATCAAAATATGACATAACAAATTTTTGACATTTGACACCAAACTGACTTCTGAATCTAGCACTATCACAAATAATAAATACCCCTGCAACATGTTATCATATTCTGAGAATAAAACCATGACCTAAGTGGAAGTCTGAGAGGCTTTCTTCCAAGACAAATTTCTCTTCTTTCTTCCAGTTCACAAGTCAAATCTTTGCAAAAGTGTTTTACCGACGCATCAGAACTTTCATATTTCATAATTTTGGGTTTCAAGCAGAAATAAAATTTGGTTGAAACAAGATTCATGATAGCCTATAAAACCTGGAATATGGGTTTAGTTTGAATTTTAATCTCATGAAAATCAGATCTTAGTACTCGCTCCCGCTAACCTAAGATCTGAGGACATGTTAGTCATTTCATTGGTCGGTCAAAGTTCGTGAAAGGTTGTTCTTTGTGTTGTGATAGTAAGCACAAACATCTGATGCTAATGACATTGGTTCGAAGGACTTGATGAAAAATAGTCACATGCATTCTCAAGCTAATCATGATTTTCAGCCCTGAATACATTATCATCCCTCCTAACCTAACACTGTGATATACCTGAAAACATCCGCAAAGCTTACAGGATATGAATGTTGTATATTACATTCTGACGGTAATAAATAGCAACTGTAAACACATATATACATGTGATATCACTGTTATACATCCTCTGCATAATTTGCCTGTCTCTGAATCCAAAGTCTCAATCTGTGTACGCCTTTACACCACATTGCCGCACATCACATCAGGGGACTGATCAATGTGCTTCGCCATGTGGGAATAGAACCTGAGTCGTCCATGTGACAGAGAGCACTAACCACTTGGCCATCCAAGCCATCATCTGTTGATTCAGCCATTGAAAGGCACACCATTCAGTGAAACTATCACTGTGAATCACTTGCTATGCTGAAGTCATGACTGCAAATGAAAACACTAGGAACATGAAAGATATACTAAATACACAATCAGTATATCATACATGGTTGGTTTGGTATTCAGTGCTGTAAATAAAGTGATGGTAGCCAAAAATAAACCCCAAAAAACTAGCATTTGGACTCAAACTCATCAATGCCCCTGGGACAGCTCCAGCCAATTCATAATGTGGCAATAATAAAAAAAAATCCACAAATTCAAAACATAATGCATGACATTAATGTTTACCACAATTGTCAATCAGTTGAGTTTTGTTGCATGGCTGCAAGATTTCAATATGTTGGCGGTGAAATGTTGCAATGGGGAAATACATTGAATTTTCCCACCATTTAAGAATATTCTAAAAATGTCACATTTTTTTAAACATATACCATACAATATTCATTTAGGGTTGTACCATGCATGATGTTAATAATGCATGAGACTTGAACAAGCAAATAAATATGTTTGTCAAAGAAACCAAAAGAATCCAAACAGAAACATTCACTGAAGGTGCTGATCTCATACGTGTACAATCAAACTTTAACGTCAATTTCACATATGAATTGCAAATAAAATCTGTCACACTTTCTATTGGCTTTTCAACAGTTCACAAGTTGAACCAATGGCCTCAAAACAGGTGCCCCCACAAGACGGACCAATGGCCTCAAAACAGGTGCCCCCACAAGATCCATCAATGGCATCCAAACAGTGGCCCCTCGAGATGGAACAACGGCCTCAAAACGGTGGCCCCTTGAGACTGCAATCCCAAGTCATACCTACAGCATAGGATAAATAAGTATGTCTGTATAAATATCAAACTCCAAGTGTCATCAACCCTCATATCTTGTGAAGGATCCCGTCAACATCCTGAACAGCTCTTCCTTTACCATTTCCTGTTGTCATCCTTTGAGGAAGCCAAATCTGATACACAAGGAAAGGAAATGTTTCTGTCCTTCCTCATCTTGAGACTCCCTCATCTCACAGAAACACAAATAATTCAATCATTATACTGAAGTAATCATAATGTTTCACAAAAAGCTACATCAACAGATTTTTCTCATTGGAACATTTGTTGAGGTACTTTTGACAGAGAATGAAATCTTTACATCCTTCTTCATAAAACTGAGACTTTCCTCTCATTCGGTAGAATGTCCATGTCCAAGTGGGAAACAGTTGTGAAACTGACAAGTCGTTTCCATGGTGATGTAAAGGTCCTGGTCATAATAAACCCTACTTGTGCAAGGATTAAGGAAAATATTTTATCAAATGGAATCAAGCAACGATTAAGTTCCAAAGTGTAGGTTTTGATTTTGAATATAAACCTCTGTGCCATGTTCACACCTAGTTGGCATATTTAAAGAACTTGTCGCAGGAATATTTTAAACCATTTCTTTTCTTCTGATTTATGAAAATCCCAAACTCTCTTCGTATCCTGATTCCTCTTCAATATGATGTCACCTATGCTTTGTTTGGAATCTGAGGAAGAAAAATATGTTATTGGATGACCGTGAGCAGTTTCCATCACTTAATACACCGCCAGCAAGGATGTCACATCATGATTTCATATTTTGAAATTCACAGATCCTGGACTGCATATTCATATCAGTGAGTGAGTGAGTGAGTGAGTATGGTTTTACGCCGCTTTTAGCAATATTCCAGCAATATCATGGCGGGGGACACCAGAAATGGGCTTCACACATTGTACCCATGTCAGGAATCGAACCTGGGTCTTTGGCATGATGAGCAAACGCATAAACCACAAGGCTACCCGACCGCCCCCATATTCATATCAATTCATATTGGACACATGATGACAGGTCTCATATTGTGTTGATAAAAAGTGAGTTAGTATGGTTTTACGCCGATATAAGCAATATTCCAGCAATATCAAGGCTGGAGAAATGAGCATCACCCATTGTACCCATTAGGGGGAATCGACCTAAGTCTTCAGAGTGAAGAGCCAAAGCTAAAGGCTTCTCCGCCGCCCACTTCATAAAGAATGAATCCAAAGTTAATGACTGCTGTCTGCAATGTCAGGTATATCACAGTGGCCTTTAAATACAGTTCCTCTGGTTACGATGGCACACTCGTTATCAGCCAACTCACAAACCCCCCAATTCTCATGTTAGATGGCTCTTACAACAAGCATAAGGGCACATGATAAAGATAAGCCTCTAGAACATCATTCAATCTACAACAAAGCTATTTAGTGTTTACTTGGCAACAGGCAACACATAGAGCCACATGGCTCTGTAGCTCACCTGACTCATGAAGAAATTATTGTTGCCAAGTCTAAAATCGGATCGCAACTTTGTGTTTGTTTGTTGGTTTATGCCGCACTCAGCAATATTCCAGCTACATGACGGCGGTATGTAAATAATCGAGTCTGGACCAGACAATCCAGTGATTGACATCATGAGCATCGATCCACACAATTGGTATACAATGACATGCATAATCCAAGTCAGCGAGTCTGACCACCCGATCCCGTTAGTTGCTTTTACGACAAGCATTGTCACCTTTTATGGCAAGCATGGGTTGCTGAAGACCTATTCTACCCCGGATCTTCACAGGGCCGGAACTTTGAGAACCCCATTGAGAGACACTAGAGCTGGGATCATTCATACAAAGTTTCAGCTCAAAAGACCATGTAGTTACAGAGAATTTGTCGAACATGTAAAAGTTAACATGGACGAACAACAGGATGGACAACCAAATGATGTGCCACAACATAAGCCCACCTGACTGTGAGTCAGGTGAACTAACAAATTAACTGTAGGTTGGAATAAGCGAAGAAGTTTTTGATTACTGAAAAACACATTCCTATCACAGTAATGCTGTCCTGTGTGAATCTGAGATATGGTTATCAATGTAGGTGTGATACCCTTTATTGAACAATCAGAATACATCATTCTGCATCATTGTTCATGATGGAATTATCTGTAAAAAACTAAACATACCTTTTCAAAATGAATCTGTTGAACGATCTTGGTCTTGGGTGGCCTCCCTTTGATGATGGCATAGCAGAACAGCGTGATAACCATCACAAACAGGAAGTAACTCGTGTGCATCAAGTGGAGGTTGATGACGGATCGGTCATGCTGACAAACAGAGGAGACACCTTGGTCAGACAAGAATCTCAGACAAATAACAACAAAATGATACATGGTTTCCTCGTCCATGCAGTGGCAAATCTAAGTCTGCTGTTGTTGGAGAGTATTGACACTTGTAGGGTAGTGGGAGTGGAGGGGAGGTGGGTGGAACGAAGGTAAACGCCTTCAAGAATATCGCAACGTGTGCTTGAGTGAAGGTAAGCGTGTACGCGTGCTTGCGCCCATTAGTGTGTGTGTGTGTGTGTGTGTGTGTGTGTGTGTGTGTGTGTGTGTGTGTGTGTGTGTGTGTGTGTGTGTGTGTGTGTGTGGTGGTATGCATGATGTGTGTGTGGTGTGTGTGTGTGTGTGTGTGTGGTTGTGTGGTGTGTGATTGTGGTATGCATGATGTGTGTGTGAGAGTGAGATTTGTGTATGTGTGTGGTATGCATGATGTGTGTGTGGTGTGTGGTTGTGTGGTTGTGTGGTTGTGTGTGTGTGTGTGTGTGTGTGTGTGTGTGTGTGTGTGTGTGTGTGTGTGTGTGTGTGGTTTGTGTGTGTGTATGTGGTTTGTGTGTGTGTGTGTGTGTGGTGTATGTGTGTGTGGGCGTGGGTGGGTGTATGGGTGTGAGTATATGATCATGATGATGTGATCAGCTTACACACTTCCTGATTACACATTTCCTAATCCTGATTTAAACATATTACCATTAATGTTCCTTGGCCACCTTGAAACATTTTCCAAGCCTTAAAAACATGAACAAGCCCAGATGTCTTGGGTTTAATGAAAGTCAGTAAAATGAGGTTTACGATTGTAACATATATTCCCCAGAAACAGTGTATGTTCGAACACAATGTTGAATAAACTTATGGATTATCTAAAGAACATCGGAAGGGTGTGTCACATTGACGACTGACCACCCTATCAATGTCCACCTACCATTGACAACATGACGGTGAGACTGGGGTCCAGCTTGTAGCAGACATCTCTACCCTATCAATGTACACCTACCAATGACAACATGACGGTGAGACTGGGGTCCAACTTGTAGCAGACATCTCTACCCTATCAATGTCCACCTACCAATGACAACATGACGGTGAGACTGGGGTCCAGCTTGTAGCAGACATCTCTACCCTATCAATGTACACCTACCAATGACAACATGACCGTGAGACTGGGGTCCAGCTTGTAGCAGACATCTCTACCCTATCAATGTCCACCTACCAATGACAACATGACAGTGAGACTGGGGTCCAGCTTGTAGCGGACATCTCTACCCTACCAATGTCCACCTACCAATGACAACATGACGGTGAGACTGGGGTCCAGCTTGTAGCGGACATCTCTACCCTATCAATGTCCACCTACCAATGACAACATGACGGTGAGACTGGGGTCCAGCTTGTAGCAGACATCTCTACCCTATCAATGTACACCTACCAATGACAACATGACGGTGAGACTGGGGTCCAGCTTGTAGCAGACATCTCTACCCTATCAATGTCCACCTACCAATGACAACATGACGGTGAGACTGGGGTCCAGCTTGGAGCAGACATCTCTACCCTATCAATGTACACCTACCAATGACAACATGACCGTGAGACTGGGGTCCAGCTTGTAGCAGACATCTCTACCCTATCAATGTCCACCTACCAATGACAACATGACGGTGAGACTGGGGTCCAGCTTGTAGCGGACATCTCTACCCTATCAATGTCCACCTACCAATGACAACATGACGGTGAGACTGGGGTCCAGCTTGTAGCAGACATCTCTACCCTATCAATGTACACCTACCAATGACAACATGACGGTGAGACTGGGGTTCAGCTTGTAGCGGACATCTCTACCCTATCAATGTACACTTAACAATGACAACATGACAGTGACACTAGGGTCCAGCTTGTAGCGGACATCTCTACCCTATCAATGTCCACCTATCAATGTCCACCTACCAATGACAACATGACGGTGAGACTGGGGTCCAGCTTGTAGCGGACATGCAGCACTGGCTGACTGTTGCACCACAACACCTTGGGATGTTTGCGAGTTCCCTTCAGACCAACCATCTTCACATGGTACTCAATCCCCGACTCTGAGTTACCGTGACACATGTCTGGCTTCCTGCAATTGAAACTTTTATTAGCCTGATGTGAAAATGTTTAAGTGGGTAAACAACTGTGTCATCAAACCGCACATTACGCATGTATATACCCGATAATATAAAGTGTGTCAGCGTGACATGTGAGGCAAAGCTGTAGTGGTGCAGGTCTTAGATAGTTCCCATGTAAAATCCATGAGTACTGTTATCATCCAAACTATCCAAGACACATTATCAGGGAAAATCTGGGATTTGAACCCAGGATCATAGATGTCTGGCTGCCTAAGGGATGCAATTCTTCAGATTATAAAATGTCAGACAGGGGCAAACCAGTATATTAGAAAGGATGACGTCCCTTTAAGCAATAGTAATGTCACAGTGGGGGACATCTGAATGGACAAAAGGCTACTAGTGGTGTAACGATTGGCCCCTCTAGTCTATATGTTTCTCCCCTCTAATATCCCACCTTCGATCTCTGAAATTTAAAACTAAATTATTCTAAATGCCTGTCAAGGACCTAAATTATTCAGGGTTGTGAGTCACCTTTAAAATGATTTGTTTGTTTGTTGTTTAATGCCACACTCAACAATATTCCAGCTAGATGACGGTGGTCTGTAAAACAATCGAGTCTGGACCAGACAATCCAGTGATTGACATCATGAGCATCGATCCATGCAATTGAGATCAATGAAATGCATCAACCAAGTCAGGGAGACTGACCACTCGATCCTGTTAGTCGCCTCTTACTACAAGCATAGTCGCCTTTTACTGCAAGCATGGGTTGCTGAAGACCTATTCTATCCCGGATCTTCATGGGTTTCCTTTAAAAAGAAAGAATATCAGGATACAAACTGTATCGTACCCATAGTTTGTTGTTAATGCGCACTCAGCAAAACTCGAGCCATATGACAGGAATCTGTAAATAATCAAGTCTGGACCAGACAATCCAGTGAGTGACATCATGTGCATCTCTCCACGCAATTGGGATATGATGACATCCATTAACCAAGTCAGCGAGACTGATCACCCGATCCTGTAATCGCCTCTGACGACAAGCATGTGTTGCTGAAGACTAATTCTAACCCAGAACCTTCACAGGACCTGCACCCAGTTTTGAGATGGAGACCCCGCCATATTGTTAAACCCCCCTAAGCTACCCCAACACCCCAGACATTCTGAAGGGCAGACCTTGTGTGGGGGAAGAATGACACTGGTGCCTGGAAGCTGATGCAGGTGAAGATGTTGACCGGATCACAGATGCCGCGGCGGTTGCATCGTGTCGTGTTCCACTGGAACGGCAACACAAAGGTCACATTCATCTCAAGGTCAGCTGCTTCACCTGAAAACAGAACAGCAATAAGATCACATTTAAGTCAACTGAAACATAAATATTCTAAACTGATGCAATATGTTAAGTCTGGCATATTGACACAACACCAAAACAAATAGCCATCCTTTTTCAGGTTCATAAAATCTACAGATATTACTATTCAAACAGTACAGGAGCAGTGAATAGCTTGTCATTATGAGTGAGTGACTGGGTGGTTGTGGTGTAACTGCTATAGCTACATCATCACATACTTTAGCGGCAGATCCCAGGCAGACAAACTAGCTGCCTAAAGAATGACTTTAACTCCATACCATCAGGCGAGGTGAAGACTATTGCACTTTCATAGTAATGTGCATGCATGTTGTGTGTATGATGTGTGTGGCTACTTGTAGAATGGACCAATGCTGGTTTTATCATGTTACTCCACTGAGATACCATGCTGCAGTTTAACATTGATACCCCACTCAGATACAGTATCTTCGAAGAGACCAGTTCTTGTTCTTTCCCTTTAGTGCCAGTATGATCAGGGACCTTCCGCTCTCTGGGCGATCTATAAGCAAACCCCAATGCTGCCTGACATTGAGGCAATGAGTAGAGAACTGACCAGATGGCTGTAAGGCTAAGTTCGTTGTTGTACAAGTTGTCATTAGATGTCAAGGAGGTGAGGCGAGGTGAAATTGGGTTTTACGTCGCATCCAAGATTATTGCACTTATATAGCATGTACGTGTGTGTGTTTGTGTGGCTGCTTGTACTAGTCCAGACTGATGCCGATTTATAGTGCTAGCTCACTGAGATACCATGCCGCAGTTTAACATGAATACCCCACTCAGACACAGTATACTGACTCAAGCCGACCAGTCCTTGTTTTAGCCCCTTAATGCCGAGCGCCAGACAGGGTAACAACAAGTACCATCTTTTAATGTCTTTTCGTATGACGCGGACAGGAATCGAACCCCGGACCTTCTGCTCTCCGGGCGGACGCTCTACCACTAGACCACAGAGGCGGTCCACATGTCAAGGAAGAAATTGGTCTGTGGAACCATCAGGCCATTTTGGCACCTTGACACACCATCAACCAAGTCAGCGAGTCTGACCACCCCATCCATTAGGTTGCCATCTTATCACGGCAAGGGAGTAAAGTGACTATCAAAGTCCAGTTTCAACCCTTGACAAACTAGCCTGGAATTATGGAGTTATATTTTGGCTGGACCAACAAGTCTATGCACAGTCCAAAATCATGTAACAAAATCGACATTCTGTTCATAAAGTGCCGTGCAGATTTTGGTCGATTGCAGGATTTGCAAAGCATGGGCATCGTGAACTGAGCGTCAACCTATATTGTCCAAATCATTTCAGGTTTTGAATCAAGGTGCTCATGTGATTTGATGCCTTTCATGAAGTAAGACCCATTTATTACAATAAAGATCTTGATTAGTCAGATGGTCTTGATAGGGTGCTGCCATTTTGTTTGAAGCAAATGCAAGTGATATGAGAGATGGAATCTGATTGGTCAATAGTAGGGACATAGAAGGGACATGATTCATAATAGCCACTGGTGGAGCCACGATCATGCCCAGAAATTACAGCCTAGTTTGGCAAGGGTGGAAACTGGAGTTTTATGGTCAGTTAACTCCCTTGCCTTGAGAAGATGTAGGGTCCCCATATACGACCAGCATAGGCTGGTGGGGACCTATTCTAACAGGCTTACACAACAGACTGCACCTACCATAGAGGCCCAGCTGGTCCCCCATCAGCGTTGTAGACAGGTATGTCACATTGTGGGGGATGTTCACAAAGTCCTGGGTCGGCTGCATCTCCACCATCATCGACAGCGACACATTGCTGAAGAACAATTACACCATGTACACCTCAATAACAATATACAATTGGATAAACAATTGTTAGCTAAAATCATTACCAAATATGCTCAAGGCCAAGGGCAAACTAAAACTTAATTTGCTAAGTCTACTTAAGAACTGACCAATATTAATTTACATTTAAGAAGTATAAACGTAAAACTGATGTGCAAACTGTGTAAATTTGTGTATAAACACAAAGACACATTGAAATCAATTCTTATAAATAAATACGTCAACAATAACTACTTCAACTTCACAGACTGCTAATTTCATCATTAACACAACAAAAAACTGTTGATAAAACCTATGAAATCAGAGACAATAATGCAATACAAGTCCTGCCCATTCTATTATCAGCCAATCAAGAAACAGTAGTCTGTCAGTGGGCATGGCCTAATTTATGTTGGTTTATGGAAACATAAATGCAAAAATAATTGCTTGCTAAGCCAATCAAAAGTCACGGAATTAATTGCAATTTATTTGTTACCATAATGACAAAAGCCATGTACATTAGTCCTTTGAGCTTCCTGTCAGACGTGCTTCCCTCAGGTAAATAGATATTAGAGCAAGATCTTACTATTTTGGTTAAGGGGAAGCTGTTACTTGCTGCCCATGGCAACGATACCTACACAACTCCATCTGGTGGCACTGTGGCCGTGGTGGTCACATCATGTTGGCCATCTATCATATTACGGCCATGTCTTGTGGTGCCAGCTGTGGTAGCATCCGATGTATATTCACTGGAGTTGCTCAACACACAAAAATCTACATCAGCAAAACTCTCCAGGAAGGTATTCCAGTCCTGAAATATAAGCAAGAAAGTCCCTTCATAACAACATTCTAAGTGACAAATGGTGTGGTAATTGGTTCACTTCACACAAATGATGGTAAATTTTAGGGCTGGGACAAGTCCAAATTTACCATCCGGGTACCCATCCCACTATTACCCTACCCTACCCGGGTACCCGCTATTGGTCTCAAGAGATGGGTACAAATGTCCGATTGGGGATAGTTTGACTGAGCCCTGGCAAAATGTATTTAGATACTCGAATAAAATGATCTGGTCATGCATACACTGAAGTTGACTGAAGTTTTATCTCTATTCAAACATATAAAGTCAGAAGGAATGTGTGCGTAGAAAAGAAATGCGAACATTAG